CAGCCTCCCGGTCATTTAGCTACTATTGAGAGAGAGTACACACCCCCACTCCTACTCCTGTCTCTTATACACATCTAGATGTGTATAAGAGACAGCCCTTATACTCCAACCCCACCCCCCCCATAAGCCCCCTATCCCCAAAAGTTTCTCAACGGGTTTGGGCTGTACTCAGCAACCGCAGTACAGCACCCAACTCAGATTTGAAAAAAATCAGTGGATGGTTGTTTTCTGACTGGTTGGCAGACCGCCGACCGGCCGGCCCTACTGGTCGGCTGCAATACCGTCGGCGGTCGGGGTCGGCGATTGGCAGGGATGCAACCCTGGTGCTAAGTTCAATACATCATGTAGGCTCAAATAAAAAAATCACTATATGCGGGAACGTGCTCTGGCCTTTGGCCCTTTGTCGATTGTTCCTTGGCCTCTTAGACCTCTATTGGTTCTCCTTGGCTGTTCTTTTAGCTATCCCTTTTTTTATTGTTTCGTGATTGATTGCTTCCTTTCCATGATGCGCAGGAGCATTTGCCGTTTACCTGGAGGCATGGCATGCAGATATATTCGATTGGCTTGATCTGAGGAAGAACCACGGAAAGGTAGGCCATCTTTTCTGCAGATGGGGCTGTGAGAGTGTCATTTTTTTTGCTGCGTTATTTTCTCTTACCGAGTCTCACGTTGATTTTTTTTCTAATTCATGTGGTTCAAGTGGTTGTCTATTTCTCCATTTGTTGTTTTTAAATCTGGACCATTTCTCGATGTATGTGTGTCTTCCTTGCGGCGGGCCCATGCTAGTCTTCTCAGTGTTGTTCCAATTTTTAATGGATGTCCCGAAGGACACTATTTCTCCATTTCGAGTTATTTATGTTTCAGTATTTTCGTGGCACTTTCTCATATTGTACCATTTATTTGTTGGTAAGAGTGGACATTTGTGGTGTTGGGATACTGGAAATATATAGGGCTGTTCAGATCAGTATTTCCACAGCCTTGGGTGATGGCACACATATCTTGGCCTCAAGCGCCAAGCATCGGAAGCATTGCACTGTCTTGACTCTAGAATATAGTGATGTGTTTTTCTTCGACATTCCAATTTTCTTCGTCCCCTTCTAAACCTCCAGTACCAGTGAGACTTCCTCGTTTTTCTCTTGTATGTGTGGACCCGGAGCGTTCAGTGTACTGGGGACACGTACTCAATCATCTTGATGGTATTTACTATTTTTCCTTCAGGTGAAATTGCACATCCAGTACTGGTGGTACTGGTTGTTTAAGGGGGTAGACCCTAACTTTTTTTATGTTCGTCTAATCCCGATCAGGGTTTCAACTGTTTTTCTGCTGACTAACACTTTTACATGTGTGTACCATTCAGCCATATGGGTCGAGTACTTCTTTGTGATTACCGTTTCTGAAAGAAAAGGTAAAAAGCTCTTGGAAAAACACGAAGAGGTCTGGGCTCGAGACCTCTTCTATGGTTCCGATGCTTGGTCCCTCATTAGGGCTGAGTACTGCAAGGAGGTTTCAATTTGCAAAACCTGTGGCTGAGGGTGCTCTTCTTTTTTTTCATATTTTTTTTGCTGAGGGCCCATTTAAAATTCCTTACCGCGTTCTTTTTTCTTTCTTTTGTTCTTTTTTGTCAGTACGTAAGCAGTAAAAAGGCATCCCGAAGAAAAAAACAAAACTGACCAGGAATTTATTTGGCCCAGACTTCACTGAACTAATTCAACAGGATGAGGGAACAATTGAAATTTCTAAAGTCGGACTATTTTCTATTGAAATTTCAGCCAAATTCTAAAAATAGATGCCGAACTGGATTCCCAGACCAGAACCGAACAAGACCTTGACAGGAAAGGTGTACTCGTAGTCTAGTCGTGCTTTTCTCTCTTGTTGATTGGTGTCTTCTCCCCAACTGTATTTTTTCTCCCCATCTCCATGCATCTATTTTTTTTGCATTTTTCATGTCTTTGTTTTCCTGTTTCTTTAGCTCTTTCAACTTGTTTGTCTTTTAGGCACACCTGAAATCTCTGTTGTTTTTATAAATGCTCATCATGGTCTGTATTATTGCTCTCTCTGCTACCTCCTTTGTTGTGTGCGGATCGACCATTGTTCCTCAGGAAGAAGGTTGGGATCGAGACCCTTCCCTCTCTTTTTGATTGGTGGGTTTTGAATTTCTCATATTTTTTAATTTTTAACGATAAAAAAAAGGAATCTGTCTTTGTGTATCTTTTTCTTTTTTGTGTTGCTTTGTGCCCCTTGGGCAACTGACATCTCTGTTGTTTTTATTGATGCTCATCGTGATCTGTTATTCCTCTTTGTTTGCTGTGTATGGATCGACTGTCATTCCTCAGGAAGAGGTCCGGGCTCGAGACCTGTTCTATGGCCTGTGGGTGAATGATCTGTTTATGAAGAGAGTCGAGGAGAACCAGAAGTGGTCCCTCTTCTGCCCAAATGAGGCACCAGGTCTCCAGGATGTGTGGGGAGAAGAGTTTGAAAGGCTTTACGAGAAATACGAGTCGCAGGTAACCGACTGTCCTGCTCCTGGCCCACCCTGCTGACTAGGATTCCATCTTTTTCAACCTGTTCCATGCCCACCTCTCCCATCTCTTGATCTGTTGCACTGGGCGCTTGTTTCATCAGCAGTGTTCACGTCGTCAGAGAACTGCAGTAGCCTCACTCCCCCTTGCCTCTCTGTCCCTCACACCTACACACATATACACACGTCATTCATTTGCCTCACCTATGAACGAATGAATTCATATTATTTCTCCTAATTTTCTCTCTGCCGCACCCTCTCTCTCTCTCTCTCTGTGTCTGCCTCTCTCTGCCTCTCTCTCTCTCTCTTTTTCTTTGTCTGTCTCTCTCTCTCTCTCTTTCTCTCTCTTCCTGTCTGTTGGTTCGTCTGTCTGGTTGACCATTTCTCTCTCTCTCTCTCTCTCTCTCTCTCTCTCTCTCTCTCTCTTCCTGTCTGTCGGTTCATCTGTCTGGTCAACCATCTCTCTCTCTGTCTCACACACACACGTGTGCACACATACACACACACACACACACACACACACACACACACACACACACACACACACACACACACACACACACGCAAATCATTCAGTCGACCAAGACATGAGCAAACGAATTGATGTTTCTCCTAATTTAATGAGCACGATTTTTGAGAGCATGGTGCAACGTTCTGACTGTTGCAGTGAACCAGCATTGCAGAGGTCTGTAAGTCATCCCTGGTTTTGAAGAAACAAATAGAGAAAACTACTGTGCAGTCAGGGTTTGAGTTTGTAATTGCACTTGAGGCAAAAGGTCCGGTAATGCTGAATGTATATGACTTACGTTTAGGGTCCCGCGGGGTCTCGTGGGGGTGTGTTGTATTCGCAAGATTGCCTGAAGTGGAATTACAAACTGTTTTCGTGACTGCGCCGAAGTTACCACAAACAAATAATATGTTATGCATTCAAACTTGCAGTTCTACCATACAGTGTTCTTCTCTTCTCACCTCTCCTCCATTGTTGTCTTCTTTTCTGCGTGCAGGGTAAAGCAAAGAAAGTCGTTAATGCACAGAAGTTATGGTTTGCCATCTTGGGTGCTCAAATTGAGACAGGAAACCCTTATATGCTCTACAAGGTAAAGTGATGATGAAGCGTTGTTTGGGCAAAGTATTGTTATTCGCGTTCGTTTCTAATAACTTTCTATGTTTAGTTTTGCTTTTTAAAGGAGTTCAGCAGCTTCACCTCCGAACGTTTTTGTATTCATCAGGGTTTGATCTCATGAGCTGTTTATCACCATCCAACTTTGCATACAGTTCAGCCAATTGGCAGCTACACAGAAACTACTGTTTCTCACAGGTTGTCTGGTTCTCTCTCTCTTCCTTTGTCTCTTATAGGTGGGCATCTCTCACATTACTTCGGTGCTTACCCTGAACGGAAAATTTAAATCTTTGTTCGGGCTTTTAATTTGTCCTTTTTTCTGGTCCTTCTTCGCTCCTGGATTTGAAGGAGCATCAGTCTCAACCTTTTTTTTTTTTTTTTTTTTTTCCCAAAAAACCCTTGCTCCCTCTATTCTGAGGAGCATCGATCCGGTTCCTGTTCCACCGGCAAGCCGCAAAATTACATACATCGAGTACCTGACTCTTATTCCACTGGCAAGCCCTGAAAAGTATATAAATTCCACTGGCAAGCCCTGAAAAGTACATAAAAAACCCACGCATCACTGGGAGTTCCCTTGGCATTAAGCGATGTATGAATGTACATGAAGACCTTCGTTGTATGAGAAGGGTTAATCTTTGAGCCAGGAAGCCGACACGCTCCCCCCCTGATGAGCTTTCTCTTTACTCCTTTTTCTGCATTGACTTCTTTTGTGCTTTGTAATGGTTTGGGGAATTAGATTTCTCGAAGGTGTAAGGCAGCGTTACACACTGTGTTCGCTGTGTTCCAGTGTGTAAGACCACCTCTTTTTTTTTCATTTTTATTTTTCTGCTGTGGACGGCTTCTATCCTTCTGGCAGAATGTGTGCTGGCTTGTCTTCAACTCTAATCCTGTGAGGGTGACTGTTGTACTGCTGTGCTCAATTCCCCCTCCTCTTGCCTTCCCAGTGATATCCACTCTTCCTCTCTCTCTCACAATCTCTCTCTCTCTTGTCTCTCTCTCTTTCTTTTGTTTCTCTCTCTTTCTCTCTCCCTCTCTCCCTCTCTCCCTCTCTCTCCCTCACTCTTCCTCTCTCTCCCTCTCTCCCTCTCTC